TGACTGGACATCTCCTGACCTTCCTCTGAGAAGGAATGGTGGTTTACCTGAAGTTGAAACAGCCTAGCAGGCAATGTGCAGAGTCAGATCTTTCTGACTTGAGGAAGGTATTGTGTCTCATATCTAAAGCCCCCTGGCATCACCAGAACTACCGTACCATGTAAATATTAACAGTTATAGCTCACATTTACTGAACCTGAAGGTGCTATGCACAGGCTCATGCTGAGTGCTTTACATGTACTGGTGATTTATCTATATAACAGCCTTCTGAAGGAGGAACTACAATTGTCCCCATTTTACAGCTGGGACAACTGAGGCTTAGAGAACTTAAATAACGTGTCCTGGCTTTTCACCAAGGGGACACTGTTAGTATTGTGGCAATGCTTGAGACCCAAGTCTTCATTTGACTCTAGTGCCTACACATCAGCACATGAAGGAAACCAACAACGCCTCACCACACGACAGCAGACATGTGGGCCCAAAGTTGCTGGAGCTTGGAGGTGTTTCCCATAGTTTGAGGTTTGGCAAGGAATTAAGAGTAGGGCCAAAGGCAGTCAGTTCCCTGAATTTTGGAGAGTTTTGAATGATCTGTTAGAATGTAACTAGGTTCCATATTAGGAATCAGCTTAAATAATCTGAGACTGATCCACTAAGGGTGGAAATCTTTTAGGAATCTGATGTTTGGCATATTTACTTCATATATTTTTACATTTTTAATGTTTCAATGACAATTTTTAAAGCGAGGCATGGAGACGTCAGCCCCCTCTTCTGGAATGCCACTACCCCCTCTCCCCCGGGATATCTTACCTCCTATATCCAGATCCACCTTGAAGTGGGCACTGTGGGTGTGGGCAGTGCCCAGCGTGTGCTCCCCAACCTGGTTCCCATAACTTCGGGCAGCACCAAAGAGGAACGTTGAGCTGATGTAGCCCGTGGCATGCAATTTGACTTCTATGGCCCCGTTGGGGTGGAAGACCATATCCCACACATACTCATAGTTGAGCATGGTAGACACAGACCTGATGACCAGAACTGTCTCTGTAAGGCCTCCAAAATAGTGGGAGTGGATATCTGAGTGGTGTCACCTCAGGGGTAGGCCTTGGTTCTGTTCAAACACACAAAAGGCATCTCGTATTGTCTTGGGGGCTTGGGACTCCAGAAGGAAGTGCCAGTCCACGTAGGTAGCCAAATAGGGGCAGTCGACCCCACGGGTCAGAGGTGAAGAGAAGTGGCCCAAGCCAAAGCCACCATCTGTGTACCGGCTTCGCAGAGCAGACGGTGAATTGCCACCATAGACGGTCAAGGCCTCTTGGACGCTGACTTCATAGGCCACTCTCTCCCCTTGGAAGCGGAGGTCAAAGATCCTCGGGCCACTGAATGCTCCAAGGCCAAAAGAGAAAGTCCACAATGAGGAGGCCACTCGACTCCCCTGGACACTGAAGCGGGGGCCCTCGGGATGGAACTGCAGAGGGGGAGCCGGACCCCGGGGCACCTGGGACTTCAGAGACCAGGCCCCACCTGTGCCATTGTCTGGGATCGGCACCATATTCACCAGGTGGGCCTCAAACTGGGTCTCCAGCTGAGCCAGACTCTTATAGTAGCGGCCTTGAAAGAACACCTTCTGGATGGTCCAGCGGGCAGGGTCCAGAGCCTTGTGGTCTACCAGCAGCTCCAACCCCACGGGGTGCAGGAAAAACCCAGCCCCTGAGATGTTGTAGTAGAGGCCAAACCAGGTGGCCCGGTCCCCTGATTGCAAACCCCGGGGGGCTGTGGTCATCGTGACTAGCTTCCTTCCTTGGTGCTTGTAGAAGCAGCAATGGTGGAGGAGACCAGCAGCCTGGGGCAGCTCTCTGTCAAAGATCATCTGGTCTATGTCCAGGTACTCTCGGATGAGCACGGGGCGTCGGTGATAGGGCAGGGGACCCCCATGACGCTCCACAGTCACATCCCGCATGTAGGAGGGGTGGGGCAGTGGTCCCACCACCAGCTCACTCACATTGGGCTGGGGTTGTCCGCCAAAGAAGACGATGGCCAGTGCCTCCCGGGCGGGTGGGGGGCTCCCCCTGTCCAGGTGTGCCAGGGCTGCAGCCTTGGGGGGCAGCTGCAGCTCCACGGAGAAGATGCAGTTGTCTGATGGGAGGGCCTGGGCTGCATCCACCAGGCCTGGCCCCAGCTGCTGGGTCAGAAAGCTCATCACAGCCGTCAGCTCCTCTTGGCTCAGGTCTGCAAACAGCTGGCTCTGGCCAGGCTGTGTCCAGTGCTGGGCACTGGGAGGTATGGAGGGGCAGCGGGCAAGCTGTCCAGGTTTACATCTCTCAAATCCTTCCTCACTCCCAGCTCCACCTTCACCCATGCCTATCACCAAAACACTACAAAGGGGCAAAATAAGGAAGAAAGCCATAGCTAAACCTCCTGGGCTGTCTTCAGGCTCTTGAATTGGAATGAATAATGGGAAATAGAAAGATAAACAAGACCTGGGTACAGGATCAGCACCTCTTTTAGTCTCTGGAGGTTCCTGGTCTCTGGCTGGTGCTGCTGGACAACAGGCCTGATGGGCACATTGAAGAGAATCAGCCAAGGGCAGAGGGTTGGGTGGGCGTGGAGCTGAAGCTGGAGGGAGCCAGGGGTCAGGCCAGGCTTGGGAGGTGGGGCTGTGGTAGGAACCTGGACTTTAAATGGCCCACATAAGCCTCTGTCCTCTGTTCCAAAGCAAATACTCAGGGTCAGGGTTGGGGAACAAAGTGGGGGAGGGGTTGGTTTGGGAGGTAACACAGCTGGAGGGAGGAGAGAGGAAGTGACAGGGGCAGAAGGGGACTGTTCTTGGGCTCTTCCTCCACCCTCTGGATGGAACCTTTCCTCAGGCTACAAGGCTATAAGCGAAACATCTGCCCACACCTCTCCAGCCAGGTTCCTTCATTCCTGCCATTAGTCCATGGTGCCCTCTAGACTCTTCCTTGTCACTCTGTCACTCTCTCGTGCCCCCCTCCCCCCACAACAACCAGAACCCCACTGCAGCCCCAGGGATGCTTGAGAATAATGTTGCGAACACAAAGCACCTGATGAGGGTTGAAGGTGGAGGCTGCGTGAGACAGGTCAGCACTGTGGAGGCTCTGTGAGCGCCCTAAGTGCCAGGAGCATGCAGGATGCGGACCCAGTGAGAAGCTGGAGGGGGTACAGGGGCTGCAGAGTGTAACAGAGACACCCCCTCCCTTCAACACACACCTTGAGCAGGACTGATGGGCCAGGTTAGAGGTCAGGGGGCCTGGAAATCTGGCTGTGGAATTAACCTAGCAGCCCACAACCCTCAACTCCGGGAAACCTTCCTCCAAAATGTTGCAGACTCAGAGAGAAAAGCCACCTCCATTCTCTTCCAGGTGAGGTGCCGTAGGCCCCGAGGGGAACTAGGAGAGACTGAAGGTTCAAGAGAAGGAACATGCTTCCCTCCTGAGCCTGGGGAAGAATCCTTTCCACGCTGGACCCGTCCGGGAAGACTTTTTCCAGGAATGATGCTAGACTGAGCTGGCGGGCAGGATGCATTCTCCTGGCAGAGAATGGGAAGGTAATTCCAGCCAAAGGGAACAGAAGGTGCAAAGGTACAGAAACCTGAGACAGCCTCAGCATGGGCAGGGACTGGCCAAATGGTCAGCGGGAAGGAGGGCAGGCACCTTGTGTTTCATGTTTTAAGTGTTAGTGATCTGAGGAAGACAGGAAACATCTCAGAACCCAGACATTTCAACTAGGGCAACCAGTCTCAGAAAGGTCAGATTATCCAGAAATATTTATACAACCAGTTCTATTTAGATATGGAAACTTGACAGGTTTTCCTCTCCTTTGTTCTTTATTTCTTAAAAATAATATATTTTTATTGATTCCAGAGAGGAAGGGAAAGGGAGAGAGAGATGGAAAGATCAAAGATGAGAGAAAATCCTTGAGCAGCTGCCTCCTACATGCCCTCACTGGGAATCGAACCATGACCTTTTAGTGTATGGCCTCATGGTCCAACGAACCATGACAC